CTCATTGGGTCCTTGGATTCACCAGGATCGCAGAGCTGTGTAAAAAGGACCTATTTGCACATATATCCATTCACAGCTCCAAGGTAATCCCTATACAGCCTCCGGTGAGGCCAACTTACCTTTAATCTCAAGTTACTTCTTCAAACGAGTTGAAAGATACTCCAACATCAATCTATTGAGGGATTCTTAGAAACCCAGATTTTCTAAATTCTATACCGGGAACTGTTATTCCAAGCATATTGGAAATAAGCTTTATCTTCTCATATGAACCTGAAGTCATTGCAGACAGTTTGATGGGTCTGGTTTCCAGTAAAATCTATGATTACTGTGCATATGGGTTATTGACAGTAGCGCTATTTGCGATACATTCATCATAAAGTTTAGAACCTTTGGAAGAGTGATTTTTTTACACACGATTTCGACATCGTATCTAGGACTCTGACCTAGTCGTCACCAATATTAACCGTTCAAATGGAGGTCCTTAAAGTAGCTCTAGAGGACGGCCGATCTCTTAAGTTCGAGTTCGCCTCAAGACCACTCGCCACTGACACTTCATTTGCCCAGCGAACACAGGAACCCGTGATGCTGAATTGGGAATCATAAAGATGGATTATTCTTTGCTTAACTCCAGTGTTGTCCTCAATGCTGCTGTCTTTTTAGCTTCGGTTTCTGATTTGTTTTTTATTGTAATACTTAGCTCATGACTCTGTCGTTCTAACGTCTCTGGCCACTTCATATCATTTCTTAAACTTTGCCACTCAAATTCTTCTTTTCCTTACTGAGCCTTTATTTTTTCTGTAATTCCCTCGGCTGGAGCCGTTAATGCGATCTATCAGATGCTATACTCGCTGCAATATCACTTCCTATTTCAATCTATAGCTATATATAGCTATTTGGATCATAGGAAATAAGTCAAACTCGATTGATAGGTCTTTCATAAACACGTCTTTTTTATGTATTTTCCTATCTTTGCCATAAGATAGCAGAAAATCTTTGCCAAATTATAGAGGAATGCTTATCTTTCAGAGATGGCTGCTATTATGGTGTCTAACAAGCGAAGAGAACTTCGAAGTTATCGAGATCTCCTTGTCCAACAAGCTGCCCAGCTTCGTAACTGTTTAGTTCCTGGACAGATTCCTGATATCGAGGTTAGCTACTCGACTGGTCATCTTCTCTTTTTATTCATAAACCTTACATTATATCTTGAGTTCCAATCCCTTCCCAATTGGATTTTGTATCGAGTTAAAGACTTTACGATTCTTAAAGACCCCTATTGCTGTTCTAGACTGGCTTGAAAATAGGTCTATATCTGAAATGCATGTGAATGAAATCAATATGACTCGATTTAATTGCATGTACTTCTTGCTTGTTCAGACTTAGCTACAATTCTTTATTCTTATTTTGACTTACTTTAGCCTAGACAGTAAAGTTTAGGTTCCTTTTTAAAGATTTTATTCATTTCCTAATAGCCAAGTTTGTTATTTATCCGTTGACCACAACTATTGGCAATCTGACTTGTCAATACTCTCCAGTTTCGTATAGTCTGGCAAAATCTGATAGAGCTCCCGTCCACGCTGAATTGAAGTTAGGACTTGCTTTTCTTTGCAAAATGTTAAACAGAATCGATATTTATCACTACAATACCAAATAAGGCATCTAGTCAATAAATTGGCTTCTTGATAGCAAGGAGCAAATTATTGGTACTTTTCGCCAACTTGTCGAGTTGCACATCGCTATAAAATTCAAAGGAGATCAGTTCTGCCGTAAACGTCCTGTTTATCGTGTAAATTAATGTTGCTAGACTCGTGTGATAATGTTTTGCGCCCATGAACCTGTGCATCCTTGATTTGAATTATACTTGATACAAGACCTGGGTTAGTTCTAAGCTGCCGCGCAGCCTGGATGAGGATTGCCCTTTAAGATGCACAGAACAATGAGTTCAAATGCAAAATAACGCCCCCTTCATTTATCGAGTTCACATGAAGTTATAGGAATGTGGCTCATATTCATAAAAATACAAAATATGATGTATTACTATAACCTCTAACAATACCTCCAAATTTATTTCCTTTATTGATTCGTGCAGCCTAAAACCCCTACTTGTTAATTCCTTAGACTAGGCAATCTCATAGATCTTACTTTACATGATCCTGCAGAAGGAATCTAGCTTTATAAGTTAAGCTTATCCTATTAATTCATGGTAACGATATCGAAACATTTAGACTATCTCGGTTTTTGCTATTAGAATTTGAGTTAAGCATGGCTTCTCTTGAATTTAATCATACGCCTACGCATTAGCATAGCAAGAATTTGGTTTAGGACTTGTAGTTTTTGTTTCTGAATCTGCACTTGCTTTACTCTATTCTACTTGGATAGATCGAAACTTAAATCAACCTCAAGGACGGTCTTTTAGGGGTAAAAATGTAAGTATTCTCTTCACTGTGCAGTGGGGATATTGGCTTGTCTAGCTAAAACACAAATCGACCGATTTTGTTGTTCCTGTATTAATAATAGGTTTGAGGCTGTCAGTACCTATTGAATAAGAACTTTAGTCACTATAGCATGCATAAGTTGAATTTTCCTGTTATGAGTAGGTCTTAATATGTCAATAAATCCCATTTAGCTTTGTTTCATTAAAGGTGTTCTCAATTAGGATGGACTGCAGTTTTGACCTCGATGTGTTACCGCTTGGACATACTGCTACGGATTGCCGTGGGCCATATGGCTGACTAATTTAATGGGCAGCCTTGCCTCCCTAATATCACATTCATAATTGTATTGTCGATGAGACAAATTTGTATTTTGTGGATACGACGAGTTGGTGGGTTTTGATGAATCTCCTGAAACAACACTGTTGGGGAGGCTTACATTACGTATGAAAGTATATGAAGAAGAGATTCAAAGGTCAATCTCACCAGAAGAGGACGGCTGATTCCTTTGTAGTACAGCCGTTTGGATTTAATACGACGTTCAGATTGACGCAGTTATGGGACATGGGGAACACTTCATTGAAGAGGTAATACCAATCTCCAAATCGTAGTTAGATAGATGGATGACTATTTTATAATCTGGCCTCATGGTAAGGAAAGTTTAGATAGTTTCCTACTTTAACTTGATTGATGTGAAAGGAACTTTGGGTTCACAATGTAAATAGTAGAGAATCCGTCCTTAACTTTTTTGGATGTTCTGATTATTAGAAAAGAGATTATGTTAGGAAGATATATTTATAGAAAGCCAACATTTGTTGGTTCTTTTTAAATTTTCTCTCCAACTATTGTTACAAAACTAAGGTTGGCATTTTAAAATGAATGATTATTAGGAGCATGAGACTAGCAAAAAGCCAACATATGTTGGTTTCCTATTAACATCTCTTCCTAACTTACACTATTCTCTAATGATTAGTAAATGCAGGAAGTGTAAGAACTTATTCTCTTCCATTTCAATTGTGTACCTAATGTTTCTTTTACGTTGGCTAAGTGAGAGCAAGAAACTATCTAAACTTTCCTTACCATGAGGATATGTATCTAACCAACAACTTGGGGTTTAGTATTGCCCCTTTCAGGAGGTGTTCCATATAATTGTGACATGACTCTCCATTTTGAAGGGAAAAGTGGTTGGAAGCAATTCGTAATGTGCTCTCCCCGGAAACTGAAGGACGAATGCGTAGGGAAGACTATTGAATTGTGCGATCAAGTCCCTGGCTCATTGTCCTGCGACCTCGATGAAACTATGCTAAGTTTTAGTCTGTACTGTGACAGACATCATCAGAGCGAGATTCCACACTTTACGAATTGGAGCCAAAATATACGAAACCAAGCGAAAAGGTGGCCGGCTGCGATCCTAGTCGCTTTTTATATACCTAACTTCGCGATTTTAATGAGGCATCCCATGATTTGGTTGGCTACTTCAACCTTATCCTACATGCTTGCAAATAAGTGAAGTTTATTTCCCGAACCGTAAGTTTGCTTGGTGGCAACTGTTTAATTATATATAAAAACTAGCTTACGATCGTCTAATGTTGAATGTCTTCTTCCGAAATTATTGGCTGATTAACTAATTTTGCAAATTCGTAAGGATTTTTAACTGAATATAACACCAATGATTGGCAGATTTCCTTAGTTATATGCATAAAAAAACGTGAGATTTAATGCATCACGCTTCCTTTATTATTTACAATTAATATTAGAGGGACACCCTCTTTATGAACCTTAAAGAGACCGTAAACTATTGGGGCCCTTCTCTGGAGTCTATGATTATTAGAAGTATGAGGTTAGCGGATAGCAGTCATTTGCTTAAACAGTTGGAGCGGCTGAGGATTTTAATTCTGGAAAATAATTATCCTTTGGGCCTAATTGAGAATAATATCTCTTTACTGAGGAATAAATTTTCAGACGGAGACTATTTAGTCAAACATAGACAAGAGGAGACCTTTTCTCACGTTCCGATTTCGCCGTCATACCTTCTTTCTAAGAAGATAGGCGAACTAGTATGTGATTGAGGGATAAAGACAGTTTTCAAAGAAACTCTGACACTTTCTTCAGTTATACCTTATTTAAGGGAGATATGCTCCTGTGGTCGACCTTATGATGGTGATACATGCCGGCCTATTTGATAAAGACTAAGGGACAACAAGTTTGCTTGTAAAGAGAGCTGGGTCTAACGGTCAGAAGTGGCCGAACAAATGGTAGAGACTGGACATGAGATAGAATGGTCTCAAATTAGTAGTTTTGCTGATTTTGGTACGTCTGCTGTTAGAAGGGAGATAAGAGAGTCTATTGAAATTAATAGATTAGGAAATACGTTTAATGTGAGGAACTGTGGTATAAAGTTGAGTAAGAACTACTTATGCTTAATTCATAGATTGAAGGAGAAAGAATGTTTAGCCGCCATCCAAAAGAAGGCGACTCAACTTGCTCGCTCAGTAATGTTTTTAACTTCACTCACTCACTCAATATGCTAGATTAAGCTCATCAACTAAACCAGACGTACGAGATGGCTCAACTCCAATCATGCTTTTCATTGGATGGTTAAACCTTGATGACCCGCAGATTAGGATAGGTGGCTTTGTAACTTAACTTACACACTCACAAGCTTGCATCTCATTATCTCAACCATACTTGCTTACGGTAAAGACTTTTTCTTGAGTCATTAAGTCTTTGTGACCAGTGTCTGACAGCCTATTTTGATTTCTCTGATTTAGGGCCGGTATTGCGTGCATATGTTAATACTAACGCACACTCGAACAAAAGTAACAAGACCAATGCGAAAGATATTTAGCTGAACCATTTTTCATCTATCTATGCCTTTTAATTTTAAGGTAAGGTAGGATAGTCTTCATGACCTTGTTCAAACTTGAGACTTTTACAATAATGACTTTTAGCTCTGATGATGTCCATCATGTGATGTTACGTTTTTTTGAGTAGAAATTTGTGGCTAGTAGTAGATCGTATCTATGAGTTATGTTCACATAATTTCTAAAATGGTTATGAAAGACTGGCAGATGAATTTTCCAGAATGGTATTAATAGAGCTGATGTTTCAATTAAATTTCATATATACTTTGTATGAAGATCAAGATGGTGTGGCCTTTTGTGTGGTCGCAGTCTCCTTTCGAAGTATAGAAGTTGTTTGACCTTGTTTTCGCAACTTGATCATATTGGTCCGGAGTCCGGAGTCCATTGTATGCACGATAATTTCCAGAGTTGGACCGTGGACGTGGTACATTCCCAAAAGTTTCGCCGGCATCGTCAGTGAGTCTTGCCATTCTTAGCATTACACTACAACTCGTCAAAAGAGACAAGTGAAGCCGATCCTTTGGCCAATTGTCTGATAAACAATCGTGGTATCTCTCCTTCAGCCCAGGGCTAATCACCAATCCTATATTCTCGTATCACACCTTTACTATCACAATTTGTACTTGCCTGTTTTAATGTGGTATGGTGTGCCCTTTTGAGCTGGCTTTATCACCTCCTCACCCTTATGTTAGGAATGTGGATCAAAATCTGTCCTATTGTTACGCAGT